CACTGCCCATCTTGCTATTCTTTCTGTTAAGTCTCCTTGTTGTAACAAGGACTTCAATGGGTACTCAGTTAGCACTATAATCTTGTGCACTTGAAAGTAATGGTTCAGTTTCTTTGAAGCCATTACTAAGGCCAGCATTAATTTCTCTAGTGGTAGGTACCTTGTTTCTGTATCGGCCAAGGTTTTGCTTACATAGCAAACAGCTTTTTGCTCTCCCTTTTCCTCTCGGATTAGCACTGCACTTACTGCGTGTTCTGAAACTACCAAATACAAAAACAGTTCTTCTCCAGGTTTAGGTGTTGAGAAGACTGGAGCCGTAGTCAGATACTTTTTTAGGTCGACCAAAGCGGCCTCACATTCCTCAGTCCATAGGAAGTCCGTAGCCTTCTTCACCAGGTTGAAAAAGGGTTTACATTTGTCTGAGCTTCTGCTGATGAACCTGTTTAGGGCTGCGGCCCTTCCAGTTAGCGTCTGCACCTGCTTTGCCAAGGTCGGGCTCTTCAACTCTAGGATGGCCTTGATTTGATCTAGGCTGGCCTCAATGCCCTTTCTTGTTACCAAGTACCCTAGAAACTTACTTGATCCAACTCCAAACGCGCACTTTGATGCGTTGAGTCAGAGCCGGTATGTTTTGAGTATATCAAAGACCTCTTTTAGGTCGGCAAGATGTCCCATAGGTTCCTTGGTCTTCACGACCATGTCATCGATGTAGACTTCTACCGTTCGGCCAATCAGGTGTTTGAACATTTTGGTTACCAGCCTTTGGTAAGTTGCTCCTGCGTTTTTCAACCCGAAAGGCATTACCCTGTAACAGTACAGGCCTTTTGGGGTGATTAATGCGGTTTTTTCTTCGTCTAGGGGGTACATGGCGATCTGGTGGTACCCCCTGTAGACGTCTAGGAAACTCATTCTTCCATGCCCTAAAGTGGCATCTACTAGTTGGTCAATTTTGGGTAGGGGAAAGCTGTCTTTGGGACAGGCTTTGCTGAGGTTGGTAAGGTCTACACAGACCCTCCATTTACTGTTCTTCTTCTTTACCACTATTGTATTGGACAGCCATGTTGGGTAGTGTACTTCTCTAATGGCCCTGGCCTCCAGAAGTTTGTCTACTTCTTCTTCTATTGCTTCGACGTGTATCAACGTCGGTTTTCTGGCTCGCTAAATTACAGGTTTGGCCGACCTGTCAACATTCAATTTGTGACAAGTGACCTCGGGATCAATGCCAGGCATTTCGAAAGGTGTCCAAGCGAACACCTCAATATTTGCTCTTAAAAAAGCCTCTAACTCTTTTTCCTCTTCTTCAGCTAAGCCCGAGCCGAGAAGAAAAAAGCATTATTCATCCCCATCCTGGACGAGGATTTTCTTTAGCACCTCTTCGCTCTTCTCGGCTGGTTCTTTGACGACGTCTTCTAGGACTTCCAAGTCCTCATCTTCAATTTCTGCCTTTTCTGGCTCTCGCACACTGCAGGTAGATTTCATTGCTGCCATAGAGCAACTTTTCGCCTGTAGCTGATCACCTCTAACTTCTTCTATCCCATGCTCTGTTGGGAATCGCAGTAGTTGATGCAATATTGAGGGAACTGCCCCCATTGCATGCAACCATGGCCTTCCCAAGATGATGTTGTATGGCGAAGGCGTGTCAATCACCATGAATTCTGTCCAGACCTTCTTAGTTTCGGCTTGTACTTCCAATCTTGTTGCGCCCAGTGGCCACGTCGGCGTTCCATTGAAGCTGACCATCGGGCCATTGGATTGCTCCAAGTCATCAGGATGAAGGCCCAGCTCTTTGTAACATCTAACATACATGATGTCGCAAGAGCTACCTTGGTCAATCAGGATGCGTTTCACTTGGCACTCCCCAACCTGGAGGGATACTACTAAGGCATCATTATGTGGATGCTGGACCATCTCTAGGTCGGCTTCAGTAAAGGCTATCGTTGGTCCCTGGTATTCTTCAGGTCGAGGTCTTTTATGTCCGACCTGGTTTATGTGTCGTAGGTGTTTTACCTTCTAGATCTCCCCTCGTATGTCATTTTCGTTCACTTTTGAGTGAATTACATTGACCACCCGTGGTCTTCCTGCTTGTGGTTGCTGTGCTGGGGGAGGCGAAGCTGCTGGTGCTTGAGGCAATCTTGCCTGTTCTTCCCTTGTCCTGGCCTCATCGACAAGGTCCCTCAGATGGCCTTGCCTCACCAAGTCTTCTAGGTGTGCTTTTAGGGCTCTGCAACCCTGAGTTTGATGCCCTTCTTCATTGTGGTAAGCACAACGCCTACCGACGTTTCTTCCCATAAATTCCCCTGGTGTTCTTGTTGGTCCTCTGAAATAAGGTTGGTTTCGTATTTGATCCAGGACTTTGTGGATCGGGACTCGGAATACAGTCGTTACTGCCTGTTTAGCCCTTAATTCCGTTTCTTGTGTTGATCGGTCCATTGTTACCTCGGCTTCGCTTCAGCGAGCCATTTTCTTTCTCCTGTTTTGTCTCTTTGTTTCCCGACGTATCCTCTTCGGCTCTGGCGTACTTCTCGATTCTCGCCATGAGTTCCTCCATACTTTTTGGCAATGTCTTTGCCAAAGACTTCCGTAGTGGGCAGTCATCTTTCAGGCCGTTCTTGAAAGACACAACCGCCACCTCTTGGTTGCATTCAGGTATTCGATTGAACACCTCGTAGTACCTTTTTTGCGTAGGCCCTAAGGCCTTCATCCTTGGTGATTTTTAAAGCCATCAGCGCGTTGACTCTCAACGACTGTAGTTTATTTGTCACAAACCTGGCCATAAACATCTCGACTAGGCCCTCCCAAGTCTTTACGCTTCCCTTCGGTAGTTTATGGAACCAATCTGATGTAATTTTTCCCAAGGATGAGGGGAATACTTTGCAGAGCAACGGCTCGTTCCCACTATATAATGCCATTGAATTCAGGTATAGTCCAACGTGAAAGTTGGGATCTGACTTACCATCATAAATTTGGAACCTCGGCATACTGAATCTCTTTGGTGCTTCAAATTTGTCCAATTCCACCAAGAATGGTGTTTTCGGTTTATCTGGGGAAGTTACCTCGGCTTCTGCATTCTGTTGCTTCCTCTTGAGGTAAACTCTCACGTCCTCTTTACTTCTTCCTAGAGCTCGGCTATCTTTGGACTTCAATCTTTTCGGCACACTACTTTCGGCCTCTTGGTGGGCCCGTTTTGATCTTTTTCCATGGGTTGTGTCAAAGCAGAGCGCCTGCCCTTGAACATGCCGATGTTCTTTGGGCTCTGGGTCCTTTGTGTGGTACATCCTTTGAGACTCCTCTCGTCTTGGCTCCTCTCGCCCGACTTCCCTGGAAGGTCGGTGAGAGTGCCTTCCACTTCTGTTGTACTGAGGGGCTTCGGGGATTGTTTTCCTTCCTCCCTTCTGGGTATTAATTGCTGGAATTGGCGTGTCGTGTAGCGGGTATGGTGGCTGCATGACATTATTTTGCATCATGAAGTTGACGACCGACTGCAGGTCTGCCAACTTGTTTGCCAATTCTCTTACTTCCTCATCCCTCCGAAGGCACCTATCCCTCCATACCTGGAGGTTATCTTCATTATAGTGCTTGCTTTGGTCTGCCTTCTTCGAAATGTCGCTCTCTTGGCCAACGTCATTCTCTCCGTGGCCCTGGTTACGAGTTTTTGTATTGTTGTTGTCTCCTTCAATATCAAGGTCTATAGGTCTGCCACTCCCAGCAGGAGTGTCGTCTCCTATCTTTTCATTCTGTGCGTTACTGGCTATCTATTCTTCCTTCTTTTCATAGACGGCGCCAAATTGTATGAGTAATTTTCTGATCACACTGCCCGTTTAGTAATCAGCTAGAGAGCACTGGTAGAATAGATGGCTTCAATTAACCTGCAACAGAAAGAAAAGGCTCGGGCGGTGGCTCTTCCACCCGGGGGCACTCCGACGATCAAGTCAGTATATCTCTCAAATATAATCAAGTGCTAAACTCACTACTTAAAGCATAAATTGCAGACCTTAGACTCACGGGGGTGCCTCTCTTTTATAGTTTCCTTAATCTTAGTCTCACAAGAAGCCTGACTTCTATGGACTCCAATTCAGTACTTACTTTGGACTCTTCAAGAGATAAAGATAACCTCCCTAAAAGCTTTATCCTCATCTTAACTAAGTCTCCTTTTTATCCTATGACTCTTGTCCCTTATCTTTTATCCTCTTATCTCGGATTCCGATATCTTCGGAGATGACATCGGCCTTGTCGAGATAACCTCGGCATCACGACCAGGGCACGTGGCACCTCGGCTGACACGTCGGCGTCACATTGCCACGTGTTGGTACTCATAAAATATATCCCCATAATAGGTATATATACACATATATCTATCTCATTTTGATATTATATTAATTTTTAACGCTGTATTTAGTTGGAGGATTTGATAAGAGATTTGAAAAGGGAATGAAAAATATAGGTGAAACGCGAATAAAATATATTTATATTTCACTTAATTTCACACATTTTTTTTATTTTCTTTTCCTAATCTCTTTCTAAATTTCTCAACTAAATAGCGTAAAATAAGCCTATCTTTTGGCTGACAACTGGCCGAAATTTGTAAGGCTGGCGAGGAATGGGTCGTTATGAATTTACTAGACCCTGATCATGATTAGGGTATATCATAAGTAAAAAAAAAAATTATTTTAATATTTAATATGTGTGATCTTTATTAATAAATTTACATTAAAATATAATAAAAATTTAAAATTTAAATTTAAATTAAACATACTGAGATAATTTTTTAGTGTAAATAGAATGCCCCTTTACCATGGACGAGCCAACCCACACAAAAATCACAAACAGACCTTCCATTTTGGGCCTTGAATCCAAGAGTTCGGCCCCAGCCCCCAAGCTTTTCTCACCGTCCGATGCTAAAACCCGACGGATCAGATTTAATTCCACGTTAAATCCGTGCCGTCCAAGAATTTATAGGAATCCATCTCCACCGTTCAATCCTAATGCATAAAATTCCAAAGCCCTAGGGTTTCTCTGTCTTGTGAAGCTAAAGTTAGGGTTTTTCTTGATCCACAGATCTCTCTCCACTTTTCGCCTTCACAGTAAGGTATGCTTATATTGCTTCCTAAGGTTGTTTTTTGAAGTGTTTGTGCTCTGTTTGGTTACTGAGAAAATGCATGGAAAACGAGAGAAAGGATAGAATTATTTAAAATTTTCAAACAGAAAACAAAATTCATTTACCATTTTACTCCCTATGTAAAATTTTCATTTAATTACCGTTGAAGTGATTTTATTTATTTATTTTGATTTCTTCTTGTTGTGATGATATTTTGTTATTTTTTACTGTTGTTGTGATGTTTCAATGTTGAATTTGAATTTTTATTATTTTTTTCTCTTTTGGTGGAGTGGTCTTTGTGTATATACAGTATATGTTATTTGTAGTAATATTCAAAGTGCATTTGTAGTTGAATTGAAATTTGCTTAGTTACTATAAATTGGGTTATCATACATAGGTTTATAAAGAAGACTATGACATTGTTCAATTTGTGATAAGCAAATGCTAAAGCATTGAAATTTTTGAACTTTTTGGGGATAATAAGTGGTTGTTATAAGATTCCAGTTGAATTTAATGAGTATAACTGGTTCTTGTTTTTTTTTTTTTGCATCGCAAATACATTTATATTTTGGAAAAATTTAGGCAAAATCACTCCATTGGGCCCTTGTTTGGTGAAAAGGATAGTTCAATTTATTTTGCTTCAAAACCCAGGAGACATAATTGAGTAAGGACAAAGTAAAATATTATTTTTATTGTTTCTTGGACAATATTGCCAAAGTAATATGTTGCTGTGAATCCGAGTAACATGTTATTGTGAATTAGAATAATATGTTATTGTGACCCAAAATAATATGTTATTGTTAAACAGAATAACATGTTACTTGTTTATATCAATTTCAACGGTAATAAATTTTTTTTTTTTAAGAGTTTCATAGTCAATATGGTTCTTATTTGATAGATCTTGATGAGAGGATTTTAAAAATACAATTTTATTAAAAATCGACATCTAGATCAAAAGTTATGTTATTTGAAAGTTTAATATTTTGGTAATGGTAGTATGTGTTGGACTTTTTAAAGAAAACTTTTTGTGTTTGTCTTTAATGCATTAAAGTTTTATTACGAGGGGCTTTGATCAAATCCCCCTATATTTTATTATATCAAATGGTAAAAAATTCATTCTTCATAATGTAGCTAAAAAGTCCTAAAATTCATTTTAGAAAGCTCTAATCATAAACAAATCGTAAGCTTTAATATATCTCTACGGATTTGTGCAAGACATTAATACTGATCACCTAATACAAATTTGTGAAGATGTATACCTCAAGGAAGAAAATCCACAAAGATAAGGATGCAGAACCAACTGAATTTGAGGAGTCAGTTGCACAGGTTATTTTTATTGCAGCTTTCGAGTTTCTTGTTATGAATCACTATCTCGCCTTCTAAGCACAGCTAGTTATAAATTATAACAGATGTCTGCTAAACTATGCAGGCCTTGTTCGATTTGGAGAACACTAACCAAGAGCTGAAAAGTGAATTGAAGGACCTATACATAAATTCAGCAGTGTGAGAATGGTGTACTAAATGCTTGCTCAGATAAAGTTATGTTGTCCTTGGATAGAATTTGAATTCTTTGTCTTCTCTTCTTTCTTTCTTTTGTTCATTGTTGCAGTCAAATTGATGTTTCTGGGAATCGGAAGGCTGTTGTCATCCATGTTCCTTACAGACTGAGGAAAGTCTTCCGAAAGATTCATGTCAGGCTGGTGAGAGAGCTTGAGAAGAAATTCAGTGGGAAGGTAATAAAACCCTTCTTATCCCCCATACCCCTCCCAAAAAATAAGAAGAAAATTAAATTAAATTAAAAAGACCAAAAACCCAGTTCTGTTAGTGATTTATTCTTAATCATGACCATGGGCTAGAGAAATGAGTTTTGAGGAAGCCCCATCTGGTGTTTAGGTTGAAACAAAATTACGGATAAATTTTATTCTAGAGTTCTTTTCGTGGAATGATTTTCACAGTACGGTGCTAACCATTCTCGTTTTTCAATTTCTATATTTTTTCTTTAAAATGTTATTATCTTTTCCGTGATTCTTATTTTTTAAGATAGTAGCTTGCATGAATCTCAGTTTAGCATGTTCTGGACTGCATTTCATGTATCTCTCATTGTTTTTTAAGGCCATACTGCCAACCTGGGGTTTGCATGCACAAACAAAAATCCAGTGCTTTTCTTTAATTCTAAATCACCATCGAATTCTTAACTGTTTAATTGTACGTGCACATTTTATCTGCATAATATCTCCTGTGCTGATTAGACTCGTGATGGTTTGTAGGATGTGATCCTGATTGCAACTCGGAGGATAATGAGGCCCCCAAAGAAAGGCTCAGCCGTTCAACGGCCGCGCAGCCGAACTCTCATGTCTGTGCATGAGAACATGCTAGAGGATATCGTTGTCCCTGCTGAGATTGTTGGGAAGCATGTTAGGTATCACCTTGATGGATCCAAGATAATGAAGGTAAATTATAATAAATTGTGGCCTTTTGCTTTTTTTATTTTTTGGTACTGATATATTTACTGTGGTAAATTCAGCACAAAGAAACAGTCAATTGATTTCTGTCATGTTTCCCTCAAGGATTAAACAGGTGCCTTCCAAGTTTTACTTGTCAAAAAAAAAATAAATAAATAAAAATAAATAGCAGCTTCCAAATTTGAAAAAGGAAATGAACAATAGAAAGAAGGGCAATAAGTAGGCCCCAAATATGGACGACATTTTATGCTTTTGATGAATTCGGTTCACAATAAACTTTTGTCAGTTTAAGCCCTTGCATCATCATCTTGACCTAATTTCTTGTGAACAGGTTTTTTTGGACCCCAAGGAGAGAAACAACACTGAGTACAAGTTGGAGACTTTTGCTTCAGTTTACAGGAGGCTTTCAGGCAGAGATGTAGTATTCGAATACCCTTTAACAGCGGAGGCTTAGAAACTAGGTTTCACAGTTCTCTCTTTTTGCCCCAACCTTCAGTGAAGCAACTGCAATTACTTTAAAATTTTGTTATTGACAAGTCTCTCAGGATGCAGAAACATGTGAATTTTACTTATGTGTTGAGTTATTATTACTAAATGATAGGATATTTTGAGTTTAATGCTTTTTCGGTCATCTACAAAAAATTTGCCCCTTGTCTTTTTCTTGATCAAGGTGCTATTAGATGTTGAAATGTTTCTCTATAAAGGATAATATTTGCATGTTCGCAATGAAAATGGAGTGGAAACATGAGTTGGCTTTTCTAGTTTATTATGTGCACGGTAAACTATATGCTTCAAAAAGATAGTTGTAAGAATGAAATTTCAACTTTTTGCATCCCATTGAATGGCTGTGTTTTGGGACTCAAACGTGTCTAGAGTTGCCAGGTGAGACATTTGGTTTGGGAATTGGAGGCTTCTTTCTTTGATCAATTAAAAACTACAATGAATATTAGGGGATAAAAATATTACCCTTACATCAATTGAGAACCCTGTACAAAATGAATTATAAAAAGTAAAAATAATAATAATTAAACTTCACAAAATATATATGGAGGTCATCTACCTTCCTTCGTTAATAGAAGAATAAGAGAGGGAATTTCTAGAATAATCCTCAACAAAACTACTACTACCCACCGAAACCTTGGTGTTGGTAGTGCCGGTATCGGAACTAGTAGCGTTATTAGTGTTGTTAGTAAGAGCAGAAGTGGTGTTGGTGCTGGTGGTATCGGAACTAGTAGCGTTATTAGTGTTGTTAGTAAGAGCAGAAGTGGTGTTGGTGCTGGTGCTGGCGGTGGTAGTCCAACGACCTCTGCGGCCTTGAATTCCAGGTTTTCCAGGTCTAGGCAAAGTAAATGAATCACTTGACAACATAAGATGGATTGATCTCATATTAGGCCTAGCTGCAACGATTGCTTGACAACATAACAACCCTATCTGAATGCACATTGTTGCCTCCTCGGGATTACACTCGGCAAGACTTGGGTCCACTAATTCCAGTGCCTTTCCTTCTTGAAAGAGCGTCCATGTCTGCACAAAGCTGAAAAACCATTAAAATTTACTCGACTATCATCTCTACTTGATTTGAGTTTTTGGTTGCAATGTTAGATTAATCGCATTATAACAAATCTATAATTTGGAAAATTGAAATCGGTGTGGGATCTAGCATGACGTTTTTAAAACATTCAATAAGAACTTGAGTGCAGAAACTTTAATGGGATTGCGAAGAAGTGCATATTTTACTGAAGTGAGACTATGGAAATTATGCAAAGTAATTTAGGTACAGCCCAAATGATTCCAAAGCCAGGTTAGACCAAACATACTTGGGAGTTGAGACTTACCGGCACGTTTTGGTTTATTTCATTTTCAGTGAGAAGTTGTCAAAAATGTCAGATACTTTTACTTTTTGGATCTGTTTTGACTAGACAATTTAGAAAATAAAAATAAAATGTGCACTTAAAACAGAAATAAACCAATTTTTATAAAATAAAATAATAAAAAAACCCTTAAAAAGTTGGCTTATTTTTATGTTTAGCAAACTTTTTTTTATAAAAAAAAATGATTTTTTTAAAAATAATTTTCAGAATCATCTACCACATCATCCCAAATTGTGAGGAGTGCTTGAAAATCTTTCTTCCATCTGGTTCTGTGTTTCGCTTCCCCCCTGTCTTCCTTTTCTTCAAAAACTAGTATAGCCACCTTGGATATTACTCAACCGATGGCAGCATGGCGGGTACAACGCTGGGTGTGTGCTGAAAATAATGGGTTTGATGTTGGCGATTGTGTATTTGTAGTGGAAATAGTGGGTTTAGATTTAGAGTCTGTAGAGGTTTTCGATAGTCAATGAAAGATTTTAAAATTAATAATAAAGAAGAAAATCACAATGAAAAAAAATGGGTGTGGCTTATAAATTTTTAAAATTAATAAGAAGATTCACTGGAAAGAAGATGGGGCTCTACTTGGGTGGATGAATTAATTTCCTTATCGAAAATCTGTCGCTTCATTCTTTCATGATACATGAATATATAAGTAAATATATGCAACCTCACTGGCTTAAGGGTGGGTTTGATGGTGGTGGTAACTGGGCTAGAGAGAAGGGAAAGGAAGGAGCATAGTGGTCGGTGTTGGTGGCCGGGGAGGAAGGTGTCGATGGTGCCTGGAAGATGGAACGGGAGGAAGGGAAGGGAAGTGTGATTGAGAAGTGAGGGAATATGAGGAAGATGATCAGGTACAATAAGAGTCTATGGGTGTGCACCAATTATTTTCTCGTGTAAGATAAATCGTCACTTAGGGATAGGTTGTCCGTAAAGCAAGATCTTTACGGGTCAGCAGTGAATAAGCTATTCCCTTTATTGGATCTTGTCACGAGTAACGGTTCCTAATTTTATCTGTTAATAGAGCCTCGATAGGTAAAATCAATGGCAACCACAGTTAATAGAAACATCGCTATTCACAACATTTTCAATAAACTTACATAGCTTAAGAGCTCAGTCTTTTCTCCACCAAGTGCCCTATCATGGTTCTTTCTTCCACTCACAATCTCCAACACCAAAATTCCAAAACTGAATACATCTGCCTTCACTGACAAATATCCATGCATTGCATATTCAGGAGCCATATAACCACTGCAATAAACAAAATAAACTGCTTCAATACCGTTTCTTAGCTATTCATAGAAATTTGACACAATGATTGGAAAATGGAAGGAAAAAAAAAGAAAGAAGTCCCAACATGTGGTCAAGATGACAGTCTTCATTTGTTTCGATTAAAAACATTTTTTTTTATAAATTGTTTTTAGCATTTTTTGGTGTTTGGGATGACAAAAAACAAAAGTCAATGAAAAAGTTTCCGTGATCCAACAGGAACCAAACTTATTTGGTCGGAAAGTATTTTTTACTGCAAAAGGTGCAAAATGTTTTTCAAACCAAGTCATACCAATGCTATCACACTACCGTCTCCACCCCACCACCGCCACCACCTCATTATCACTAATATTACCACTGGCATATTAGTTTCAAGGTCACAGCCAAACATAGGAAAAACATTTTTTGCCAAAACAAATGGAGCGTCAGCATTCGGACAACAATTGAGAACGCAAAGGTAGAGAGAAAAACTACTCACTGAGTACCGGAAATCCTAGATGTTTGTGCGTGAGTCTCATCCCCAGGGAAAAGCCTAGCCAAGCCAAAATCTGAGATCCTTGGGTTTAACTCTTCATCTAGCAAAATATTACTAGCTTTAATGTCTCTATGGATAATCCTTTCAGGAGCTTCTTCGTGTAGGTAGAGAAGTCCTCTGGCAATGCCTGTCACCATTCGAAATCGTTTGAACCAATCCAAGGACAAAGACTTCCTTTTATCTGAAAAAATTGGAAATCATTAACCTTTTGAATGTTCTATTCATACAACTCGGACACGATATGTAAATTGTAGGTCGGAGGGATTTTTTTTTTCTTCATACCAAAAAGGACATAATCGAGACTCTTGTTGGGAAGATATTCATAGATAAGCATCTTCTCAGGTCCATCTGCACAGCACCCCAATAATGTGACCAAGTTCTTGTGCTGAATTTTCAATAATAGTCGCACCTCATTGGTGAATTCTCTCAGGCCCTGTCTCGAATTCATTGATAGCTTCTTCACAGCCACTTCTTGACCATTTGGCATAAATCCCTGTTGGAAAATACAAAAATAAATAAATAAATTGATGCAATCAGATAGGCATAATTGAATACACATTTGACATAACCAAGCTGTTAACTCGAAGTCATTTAATGATTTCAGAATATAGTACATATGACAGCTGACAAAGCACCAAGATGCTAAACAGTCTCAAAAACCACGTTAGTGTATAAATCATGGAAACACGGAATGTGTGAACATTTTAAGTACAAGATCTCAAGTTCTACCCTTGTTCCTGTTGTGTGCTTCCTATCTGCTTTTCTCGCCACCATAGAGGTTAGATACATATAACTTTTTGTGTGTGTGTGTGTTTGGGGAAATCAGAAGATGGGTGAAATAAGAGCTCCTATGCTGTCACTTATATCTTGGGTACCTATCCATTTTCCTTTCAATGTCTCTACCTTCATTAGCACCCTCCTCTTCCTTGTTTTGGACAAAGCTAAGCCCTATGATCAATTGAAGTAATAGGTTGATTCCACAGCTCAGATTACAAACAAGACATGCAGAAAGATTTCCAACAATTCCCCAACTCAGTTTGCATTGGGAGTCAATTGTCATCCTCAAGTCCCTTGAAATACAAATCAAGTGCAAACAATGTTTGAACATCTCCTCAATTCAAATTTTGTTGCCCTTCTAAGGGCATTTATGTCAATGTATCAAACACCTTTTTAAAACAAAATTAATAATAATAAATAGTCAGAGGAACTAGTCTCAGGATTAATAAGTTCTCTCATTATTCTATCCCCTTTTTTTCCCTTTACTTTAATATGGTCTGAGATCATGGAAAGGTAACTTCTTCAATAGCAAGTAAATATTAGATATCACGATAATATCAGGCAACGGTATCGCTAATTACAGTAGTAAGACCATTGCCAACGGTTCAACAAATCTGGCATCAAATTTGAAATTTGGTGAAAAATGTATTTTTTAGAGTTCCAACGGTTTCACCAAATTAGTATCAAAATGAGAATTGAACAAAAAAATATCAAACTGAGAATAGAATACAGGTTTCACCAAATTACTGTGTGTGACCGTTGGAGGAGACCAACCGATCAACCAGCCGGTTGACCAACCGGTCGACCGGTTCCCTTTCAAATAGGTAGGTTCAAACCTGTCAGAAAAGGTTCAAACAGGTAAAAAAAAAAAAAATTGCCCTTACCGCTTCCCTCAATTCTGCTTTGATGCTCACCGTTGGAAGAAGAATATCAAATTGAGAAAATAACCTATTTTTTATTCAAATTTGGTAAAAAAAGAAATGAACGGTTGGAGATGCTCTAAGACTACCTGATTAGGTTATGATCGGAAATAAGTATATCTATTCGCTACTAAAACCTTATTAGCGTTGGGCTTCTCTAGAACTTGAAAAAACTCGATTGCTTTGATAATTTGAAACATTCAAACCGTTCACAGACTCTTCATATATACCATCTATATTAAATGAAAAATAAATAAATAAATAAATCCAATCTTGTAATCTTACCATTTTCATCTTATCACATGTATAAAAAAAAAAAAAAAAAAATTATTTTCAAGATATATTTATTGTCCATTTGTCACAAGTAGCTATGAAGTTGGAGTACTTGCTCCAATATTACTTGATAATTAAAGGTAAAATTGCACCTCAGTACATATTTTCACAAAAAATAAAAAATAAAAATATTACAAATTAGTGTAAATTTTATCAAATTGAAAATATTTTATAAAAATACCACTAGTTTCCCATAATTAAATAGTAATAATAACAACTTTTATTATGATGTTTCTATAGTTAACCCTAACGAGCTGTGAATTTACAGAACGTACCCTGTAGACGGGACCAAACCCACCGTGACCGAGCTTGTTCATCTCGGAGAAAAAGTTGGTAGCAATTTGCAGAGTCTGCAGTTCGAAGAAGAACCCGCTCGACTCTCCGCCGTCGTCCTCGTCTCCGCCACCGCCACGACCAGGGCGGCCGAATCTTAGAGTGGTGTTGAAGCAACCGCACAAGGCGGAGAGAATTCCCATGGAGGCATTAATCAATCAAATCGAAACCAAACCATTAATTCCGATCCTCCGCCTCCGTTGAAATTGTGAAGTTCCGCCGAGTTACAATACAATATTATATTTTAAGAGTTTTTAACCTTTTTCGGTCTCTTCTCTTCTCTTCTCTTCTTCACGAGCAGAAGAGCAAATGTATTACGACAACGACCGTGAGTCGACCGCGACGAGTATTCAATGAGTCTACTCTATTTTATTGTCAGCCAGCTGTAATTTTTTTTTTTTAAAAAATTTTGTAGCCAGCTGTAATTTTTTTTTTTTTTAATTTTGTAACACTGCTTTTTAGATCCAAAAAAAAAAAAAAAGTTAGCGAAAGTAAGTTTAAGTTTATTTTTTTAATTTTTATAAAAAAATACGTAGAAGAATAAAAGTGGAGAGGATTTATATAATGATTTTTTAGTTATATTAATGGAAGATTTACCAATAAATCCCAAATGTTAAACTTATGAATCAATTGGTCCCATTTTTTTTTTAATAAACCGTTTAGTCCTTGGATATTTTGAGGGACCTTAATGCCCTCATTTAGATGTTATTAGATGCATGCTCTTTATGAGGATGTGTCACCCACACACAATATGTCATGTGACACACACAATGGGTGCCACACATCAACAAAGTACACCAAGGCCCTTTATGAGGGTGTGTCACGCGACACACACAATGGGTGTCACACATCAACAAAGTACACTAAGGCTCTTTATGCTTTTTTCCTTGGAGTCTCACGCGACACACACAATGGGAGTCACGCGACACACACAATGGGTGTCACACATCAACAAAGTACACTAAGGCTCTTTATGCTTTTTGTCTTGGAGTGTCACGCGACACACACAATATGTCAAGTGACACACACCACAATGGGTGTCACACATCAACAAAGTACACTAAGGTTTTTTATGCTTTTTGCCTTGGAGTGTCACGCGACACACACAATGGGTGTCACACATCAACAAAGTACACTAAGGTTTTTTATGTTTTTTGCCTTGGAATGATGTATGTCACGCGACACACACACGGAAGGGTATAATTGATCACTCAATGTTACTAAACAAAGGAAATAGGATCAACTGGTAAGATATTTCCCCACTAATAGGACTAATCAGAACAATAAAAATAACCTTAGAACCAATCGGTAAAACTGTTTGTGAGATAGGATTTATTGGTAAATATCCCTTTTATATTAATATAAATTGTCTTCTCATATTTCAAAAAGATGTATTTAAATACAAGTGCTAATTTATAAATTTATACCTCATTAAATTCTAATTAAGATTTTTTAAATCTTCAAGTCCCATTAATAAAAAAAAAAAATTGATTTCTCTCTATCTTAATCAATTGTTTGAATTATTAAAGGAAATATAAGTAAATTATGAGAAATGAATTTCTTTTGTTACTCACTCTTTTTTTCTCCATTTTGTTTTTTTGGGAGAAAAAAGAAATAAAATAATTATTAATCTTATATAATATTGAAATTATCCATCTACATATTAAAATAAAATAAAAAATTATTATCTTTCTTTCTTTTTTCTTCTTCTTCTTTTATAATGTAATCTAATAATTCTCTCTTAACTCAACAAATTATTTTTTTAATTTTCTTTCATAAATGGAGAGTGTTCTACTTTTATTAAAAAATTTAATTTGCATGTTTTCTTTTTAATTTTTTTTTTAATCTTATGTATTTATTTATTTGGCAATGAACTTAATAATCTATTCTATAGCCTCTAAAATGCTTATAAAAAAAAGAATGTTTGTTGATAAAATTTTAAAAAATTATTAGATTACGTTATAAAAAAGTTTGAAGTTAAAGTCTAATCATTAAATTATATTTGAAACTTTTGGTTATCATGTTGCCAATGATTTGTTAGTTGCTACATCTGGTGAGACTTTTGAAATTGATCCAATCTATAACCAAACAAGCAATCTCTTGAATATTATGATACCATCTCATTCATGGACAACATTTTCAACTGTGTTAACTAATCTCTTGATTATTATGAATTTAAAAAAAATAATAATTAAAAAATATAGAGCGCAAAAAATTAGCATCTCAATCATTACCAGAATCATGATTAATTAATATTTTTAATATTAATCTTAAAAATAATTTTTTTAAAAACTTGTTTTTGACTACTTTAGGTTGTTTTTGCTTAGTTGTTTGTTTCTTTTTTATTACAAAACTTTTCTTTATATCAATATTATGTTTGTTGGTGACATGGGTAAGCCCATAAAAATTAGAGCCCACTATTTAGGGCACAACACATATTTCAAACGCTAAAGCCCAGCACTGCCGAAGCTCCATGTAGCAATTAGAACTAATGGCATCACCACACATGACAAGAAAAGGGCAAGCCACATCAGCAGACAAAGATCTACAAAGTTATTGCCACTGCACATCGCCATTAATGAGGCCCCCTCACAACATTTATTGCGATAACCCCTCTCCGTCGGGACAACACGCCCTCACCCTGAACAAGGTAAACTACAGTATAGATTTTTGGCCCAGGTGACAGGTCAGAAGAGACAACGTAATAATTACCAAAGGATACAAGCAGACGTCGAAGACATGTAGAAGGTTAAGCTTTTCTATCTCTATTCCATCTCTACACTTTACTTCTCTTCCTAACTTGCTCGTCGGAGGATTCGCTGGGGTACTCCCCATTCCCCATTGGACTTTTGTGCAGGTTCCTCCGTGGGTTTGGTCACTCGAACGTAGGCTTAAGGAGCGTGGATTAGTCCGACCCGTCCTATTATCACGAACTGTCTCATCAGTTGGTGTTATCTGTGGGAACGCTTTGCTCCGCGCGCCAGTTGTGCTCACTGTCGCTGGAAACCCTGTTCCAACAACCCTTTCTTGCTACCCATCAAAGTGTATGGTCACGACTAGATCCATGGTTTCTTACCATAACGCTTCCCAATCCAAACAACCCGCCACAGTATTTCATCGAGCTTACCAACAACATTAACCGCATGACTGAGCAAAACCAAGCCTTGATAAGTGCTCTACTCCAAAGAAACCTTCCTATGCCTCCTCCACCACCTCCAGATATTCCTCCCAACCAAGAACGAGCCCCGAGCCATACTATCCCGCAGCCTAATCCACCCAACTAGGAAGGCTTGTAACCCCCTCCCCCAGGTATAAACCTGCCACCCCGAGGCCCACAACCATCGATCCCAGCACCAATCCCTGAAAGAGAGGCCAGCAGCGTCCAGTCCCCACTGCCCTCCAGTACTGACAACATCTCTCTCTGGGACGCGGAACTCCGAGCCATGAAGCTCCAACTCCAAGGGGTCATGCAGAACATACAACATAAACCATCTACCACAGCCAACTCCCCGTTTGTTGCCTCCATCAGAGACAAACCTCTCCCTCCTAAGTTCAAAATGCCCACCATCGACTCTTTCGACGGTACAACAGACCCAGTCGATCACTTGGAGACCTACAGAACCCTCATGATCCTCTATGCATTTCCCGACGAAATCATGTGTTGGGCTTTCCCTGTAACACTCAAGGGGTCGGCTCAACTTTGGTTTAGTCAACTCCCAATAGACTCCGTCTCCACTTTCCAGCACCTCAACGACTCCTTTCTCAGCCATTTCATAGGGGCCCAACGCCAGCGACGCCAGCAACCCAACTCCTCAATATCCGTCAGACCGAGGGGGAGTCGCTGCGCAATTTCGTTACCCGCTTTAACACCAAAGCCTTACAGGTAGCGGAAAACGATGACAAGGTCATCCTTACGGTTTTCATGGCCGGCCTACAGTCATCTGATTTCCTTTTCTCCCTCTCAAACAATCCTCCGACCTCCATGGTAGCCCTATTATCCAAAGCCCAAAAATACATGAACGCAGAAGATTCCCTAGCCGCTCGCCAAGACCCTATAATAAAAAACCCGACCTCCCGAGAAAAATGAAAAAACTCAGAAGCCAGAAACACCCAGTACAATAACCAAACACCGCATTATACCGATCGACCCCCCGAGCCGACCGGTCAGCACCAGTCAGACCGCCTGGTCGGTTCGAGCGGTACACACCCCTTAATTCCCCCATGGAACAAGTCCTCAATCAGATCCAGCGAGATTACCCCCTCAAATGGCCCTAACCATCACGAACCCCCTCCAATCGAAAAGACCAATCCAAATATTGCCGTTTTCACCAAGACCATGGCCATAATACCGATGACTGTGTTAACCTCAAAGATCAAGTCGAGACCTTAATACATTAGGGACGTCTCAGCCGGTTCACGGATACCCGTCCTCAACAAAGGCAAATGACTGAGCCCATCAGAAACAACCGCCGACGCACCCCTCCTCGACAGCCAGCCCAACTTAAACTAAGGCCATGATCGCCTCCCATGCTGAAGCCCAGCACTGCCGAAGCCCCGCACTGCCGAAGCCCCATGTAGCAATTAGAACCAATGACATCACGACACACGGCAAGAAAAAGGCACAAGGTAATCCCACCCCACCTATTGGAGAAATTAGAGTTATTTCCAGCGAACTTGCGTGCGGAGGACCATCCCACTCGGCTCAGCGGGCAAAACTCAGAAAAATAAGGCAAGGCTCAGACAAAGAAGTTACCACATTGGATCAACCCTCCAAACACCCCAGGCAGTGGACCAAGCCTATCACCTTTACGGACGCCGTCTGCACAAGCATCCGTTATCCTCATGACGACCCTCTCGTCATTTCTGCCTTCCTCTCCAATTACAAGGTCAGACGAGTTCTCGTCGACAACGGCAGTTCTTCAAACATTATCTTCCTTAATTGCTTCCGCTAGCTCAAGATTGGGGAAGAAAGTCTATCTCCCCTCCAAACCCCTTTGGTCGGTTTCTCTGGCGACCGGGTGACCTCCATCGGCTCCATCGATCTTTCTATCACAATTGGCGAGTACCCCAGGTAGACCACGAAGCTGCTCACCTTCCTCGTTGTCGACTGCCCCTTTGCTTACAACATCATCCTTGGCCGCAGCGCCCTAAACGCCTTCCAAGCCATCACCTCCACCTTCCATCTTGCCGTCAAGTTCTCCACCGATCTGGGGGTCAGCACAGTCAGGGGAGAGCAGACTGTAGCTAGAGAATGCTATGTTGCCTCACTTAAAGAAGTTAAGCTTAAGGAAACCATAATCATTGAAGGACTTGACGTTAGGGACAAGAATGAGCTGGTCAGGGGG